CGGCTCAGTCCGTCACTGCAGTGGGCCACTGTTCCCCACGGAGGGAGGGTCTGAGGAGGGAGACTTGTTGGAGGAGTTGCTGATGGCGGCGGCCTTGAGCCAAGCCCCCCACGGTTCACCCTGGTGGTGTGGGCGGGTCTGGGACCACCGGAATGCGAACGGGACATCCCTCGGTGGGACTCTGCGGACACGCAGGAAAGCCACGCGAATGAGGGGTGTGTCCCGTGGGGGTTCTTTACCTCTCGTTTTTGCCCATTTAGAGACACGTATCACTTCCTGATTGTTTTTCAGGCCAACACCACAGGTCGATTGGGAAAAAGTGGGTGGTGATTTACCAAAAGGAAGAGAAACGAAAGAGAATTATGGCAAGATGTTGAAGATAGAGAACGTCTCCTACGAGGACAAAGGGAATTACCGCTGCACGGCCAACAACTTCCTGGGCGTGGCCACGCACGATTTCCACGTCACGGTAGAAGGTACGTTCGCCGCCCCACACGATTCACTTCTCTTCTGTTTAGCGGGAATGTGGCGGCCCTACCCCTGTAAGCAGGTGTGTCACGGCAGTAACTGACCCCCGGTGGGCTGCGGAGCGGGCTCTGGTGTCACATCACTCACTGGTCTGTCACTCACCACACAAACCACAGGGAGGGGACGGTGACAGGGTGACAGAGGATGTCACAGCAGGGGTTCAGTCAGCGGCCTCCGGGCCTCCCTCACTTAGTCCTTCAATCCGGCCTCCTGGCCTCGAACTGTGAGAAAAAACGTTTATATAATATACGCGTGACGCTGCCCAAGGTCGGATCTCAGAGCAGCGAGCTCTGCGATGGAAGAAGGTCAGGAGGACTCCAGGAGAGCTGGGCCGCGTTTCCCGCCCCGTCATTAACTCGCCGGGTCCGCCACGAGTTCCCTCCACTTTCTGAACCAGCTTTTCCCCCGTTGAGATGAGCGAGGCAGACACACTGCTGTCCCAGCTCTTTCCCGGGCACGTTTTTTCTGTCCGTGCCCGGAGGATATTCTCTATGTTAGTGATGGGGAAAGAATAACAGACTCTGAGGCGGAAAGATGAATTCTCTACCCAAAGGTGCAAACACACCTTGGTTCTACTTAGGTTCTCTCTCTGGAAACCCAAGCCTTTTGGTCAGCAGCCGGGTGGCTGTTGTGTGTGGTGGGATAGAAGTCATTGGGCAGTGAGGCCATCATTTAGAAAGGGCGCCCCAAATGTAGACACCGGGGCCGTGCCTGCTGGGGGAGGGGAGGCTCCCTCGTCACCTGGGAATTGATTGGCACAGGCTTTCTCCCTGGGCGGGACCACACTGAGGTCCCCTGTACGTGGGCGGTGGACTGTGCTGACCGAGCCTGGGGGATGATTCCCGGGTTTTCACTGTGTCGCACTGTGTGGCCCTCATGATGAGGGGAACTATCCCC